AAGTTTCCAGGTAACATTGATGCCTCTAGTCCTGGGAGCACATTGAGAGGTGCTGGGTGAATCTGTGGAAGACAAAATTGTTCCCCCTATGGGCAGGGAGGACATTTAGGAAGTAGATAAAAACAGACGGAAATGAATAGAAGGAGGATAGACAGGAAAGAGAACTAACTATATGTCCATTTACTCTTACCTCATTACGTCCAGCTCCCAGACACTTATTTAAGGTTCCCTGAGATCAACTTCATGTGAGAGTGTGTGGAGGCTCCCCTATACCAACAAGCAGTTCTCAGATACCCTGAACTCCTTTCATCTGAATTGTGAGACTTCTGTACTTGGAGATAGTATCTATTCATAAGTAAAAGACTCAGTTTCCCAAAATGCCCTCCATTTTATACACCAGTTGCAAACCCAGGCTGTTACCTCTACTTCTGACCAAACAGTTACAGAATAAAAGTTCTCATGATCCCCCTCCTCAGCTTCAATTAATTCTGGAAGATTAACAGAAATTAATAAACCTATTTCCTCACTAGATAACTGATTTATTATGTAGTATATAGCTCAGCAACAGCCAGATGGAAGAGATACATTGGGCAAAGCACAGGGAAAGGGCACAGATCCACCGTGTCCCCTTAAGGGTATGCCATCTCCCCAAATTCCCCCATGTTCATCATCCTGCAAGCTCTTCAAAGTCCCTTCTCTTGGGAGGGAGGTGTCATTATACAAGCATGAGTGATTAACTCATTGGCCATCCATTGGTGATGGAGGGGACAGCTCCCTCCCCAGAGGTTAAGCAGTCATGAGGTAAAGGGATGGGATTGGAAGTTTCATCCTTATAATCACATTGTTAGTTCTCCAAGCAACCTGCCCCCGTCCTTAGGTTCTTCCAAAAGTCACCACATTCATATAACACAGGATACTTTAATATTCTCAACACTTAAGCAAGTCCAAAACTTTTGGGAGCTGCGAGTCAGAAACTATGGCTAAGACTAGCTATGTATGAGAAATACATTTTGGTTTTACGTCCTATGAGTTGTGGTATTGTACCACTTTTCTGTTATCTCCCTCTGCACTGATAAAATCATGAAAAAAAATCTTTACAGGTGAAGCTCTTAGCATCATATTTGTGCTTTTATTCAAGGTGAAGAAAAGGAATGAAGTAACTATCCATAAAAAACCTTAATCTGAAGCCCTGCAAATGTATTATGGGGGAGGGGTGGAATTTAAAGTAGATGGGGAATTGTACAGTGTGTTGAGAAGATGGCAATATTGGGGGTGATTTTGTTAGGGAATCACTTTCAACTATCTCCTAGGATCTCCCTTTCTCCTTGTCACATGTCTAGGAAGCAGGACCCTAAGCCACATATGCAGAGGGTCAGACCTGGTGGCTGGTCACACAGGGGAAGAGCCAGACTTAAGATCTCACCTTTGGATTATTTTCATGTAAACATTTGGAGACCCTGCCATAATTATCCCACATGAAACCATGGTTTTTAGTGTTCTCAGGATGTCTGCCTATAGTTTGCCTGGAAATTTTGAGAAATAAAATATCTGCAAAAGATAGTCTCCCAAAGGACAAAGTATTTGGGAGGAAGTCAAGAGAAGTGAGCACCCAAAGCCCTTACCCAAGATGAGGTGACTTGCAAGACATAATCTAATGCTCTGGATAGTTTCTGCTATTGCTACAGAAAGCAGGAGCTTGGAAGAGCAGAAACAGCATGTGGATAAATAGATGACATGAGAAACACATTGTAGTGTATTAGTTTTACCTCTAATTTGCCACTTCTTTTCTTAGGTCTGTTGCGTATTTTGGTTGGTGTGGTTTGGTTGGTTGGTTATTTTAATCTAAAAATTGATGGTTTCATTCCAAAGGAACTTCTATCTTTGAGATTCCTGGATTTTCCTCAAGGTCACCTCTTCAATCCTTTGGGCAAAGAAAAAAATTTTGATTTCTAAGATAGAACTCAGTTTACATAGAAGATCCAATCTTCCCTAACCCATGAGTCTCAGAGGCTCCATGTTATTTCCTGTTAGTGGTTTTCAAAGACTTTGGCATAGAAGGAAGTTCATTGCTATGACAGTCAGGCAGTCTCACTAGGGAAAATATGACATATTGTGTTATGTAGGAAAATGTCAGTATTATCCAATCCAGTAATAAGATTTCAGACAAAGGTGTGACCCTGGAGCATGCTGTCTGTGACCAAGCATAGCACTAGTTTTGCCTCTAAAAACAGTGAAAGAAAGAGAGAGAGAGAGAAAGGAAGGAAGAAAGACATGTACTTGACCTGTCTTTCTTTTGCATATGGAAATATGTATTTCCTAAAAAGTTCTCCCATTCTTATTTTGAAAGCAACCAAATTTCTCTAAGATATTAGTTGTAGCATTAATTCATTTAGCACTTAGTGGGCACTTACTGTATGCCATGTTCTGTGTGAAGATGGAGACTCTAGAAGGAAATGTATCTAGTGGGAGGAGGAGGAGGAATGAGAAAAGGAAAAAACAAGAAAAAAGCAAAATCCCTGTACCCAGTTACTGAGTGCAAACTAAATAAGACAGACACATCTCTGGGGCCTCTCAGCATCTGGTTTCAGTGAAATGGATACCCCTGTAGTAGTAGAGAGACCAGACCAGCCTGGGGTGGGTGTTGTATAATTGAGATTAAGATCCATGGAGGGTTCAGGGTAATTGCTCAGGCTTCTCTGCTATTGGCCTCAGTTGCCATCACCTGCGGCCTTGCACGCAGGAGGCAGGTGGGAGCGTGGGCTCGGGGTATGCCTGATGGTGGACATCTGGGAGTATGGTGTGGATGTGTGTAAATGGGCACATCTGAGCCTAGAGGCTGAGGCTAGAAGGGTGGTGTCACTCAGTGACCGGAAGACGATGGTGGAGTGGCACTGAGAGGCTGTGTGAATAGAGAGGTAGGAGCATGAGATGATATCAGAGAGTCCAAAGAGAATGCATAAAGAATTGTTGGGGGCTTGGAAGTCTTCCAGCCTCTTGATTCCTCCCAACCCACCCCTAGCCCCTGCCTTGCCAAACTGCGGGCTTGCCCCATAACAATTGGTATAGAAAGAGCATTAAAGCCTGGCAAAAGCCCTCCCTGGTGG